CATTTTTTTTAAATTAATTTATTTTTAAATTGTGTATATGTGGGTGTGGGCACTTGAATGCGTAGCCTGGTGGAGGCTAGATCTCTGTAAAGGTGGAGTTACAGACAGTTGTGAGCTAGCCTGTGTGGTCTGTGAACTATATTCAGGTCCTCTGAAAGCACTTCTGATCACTGAGCCATCTCTCCAGCCCCAATTTGCTCATTCACTGACAGAATTGCTAGTCTACATTTCCACTCTTTTCTGTTTCTTTAATTGAGAATTTAATTGAGAACTCATATATTGTGTCCTGATCAAATTCATGCATGCATAAGACCCTCCTCTGTTTTGATCTACCTTCATTGGCCTTTAAGAACTCTCTTTTTAAATGGTGTGAAGCTTTCTTTTCTTTCTTTTATTTTGTTTATTTCCTTTGTTGGTCTCTCCCACAACATGAAGATGGATATTTTTAAGAACTGTATTCACTGTTTAATCTCTAGCATAGTGCCTGGCACATAGAGGCTTGCTATATTATGGACAGTTGATTTTTCCACTATTGTTAATTTAGATATAATCAGTTCACTAAGTAGTATTTGAGGTCTATTTTGAAAAGTCTGATCAAGATTAGTATATAAATAATGCTGGCTGGGGCTTGGGGAGGTGGCTCAGTGGTTAAGAGCACTCACTGCTCTTCTGAAGGTCCTGAGTTCAATTCCCAGCACCCACATGGCGGCTCATAAGTGCCTGATGCCATTTTCTGGTGTGCAGATATACATGCAGACAAAGTATCCATATACATAAAATAACTCAATATAAAAAAAATAATGCTGGCTGTACCCAGAACATAGGAATGAATATGTTTGAATATTCTTTTCCAGTAGGTTGTATTTATATAGTCTGATTTTTCTCTGCAAAGGCCATAAATGGCTTTTAAAATGAGAAATTTGTTTTCTTAACAATGATGATAGTAAATTCATTCCTCACTGTTTTAAATTACTGTCCACGCAGTAAACAAAAATCTTTGTCTGTAGCTGAGTATGGAGCACATAATCCTTACCTCTGGAGTTGTGGTTCTAATGACAGGCAGTTTTTTATTTTAGGGAGCACTTGGTAATACCTGGGGACAGTTTAGTTTGCTGTAACTTGGGATGGGGAGGTTACTACTGACAAGTTATTGGTAAAGACTAGAAAAACTGAGAAATACCCTACACTGCACAGTGAAAATCTCCAACAACAAAGTTAGTTCAGTGTTAGGGCTGAAGCTGAGAAACACTGAGTGGAAGACACTGGATGGTGAGATGCAGGCTCCCAGCTTCAGGGCAGTGAAGAAAATGTTTTTAGTAAGTAAACATGTCATTATTCACTCTGGTTAATGGTAAGTCTTGGAAGCTAGTTATGGAGGCTTACCCTGTAATCCTATGAGACAGGAGGCTAAGACAGGAAGTTTGCTGAGTTTGAGGTCAGTCTGGTTTACTTAATGAATTTTTAGACCAGTCTGGACCATAGTATAAGGGTCTTCCTCAAGGAAACAAAAATCTACAGTTAATCATATCTTGAACATACTCCTTTACATTAAAGCGGTGTATGGAAGTGTGTATATGCTCATTACAGGGAAGGGTGAGTTTTAATAAAAGAAACAGCTAGATGAAAACAGTATAAAATTGGCAACTTTTATTAAGTGATGCAGATGAAAGTAAACCATTGAGATGAGAGTGATCCCTCGGGAGCCTAAGTAGTGTTCACCAACCGAAGCTCAGTGTTCCAACTCAGATATCTCAAAGTATGTTTAGATAAGCACAGTGACTCCATGCTTCATTAGGGCAACTTCTCAATCTTTCTGCCTAAAAATCTTTGAAATACATACTAGGTAGAGTTCAGGTGTTATCTTTATTAATTAACTGATAGATCATTATTAAGGGGACAAGAACAGATTTGCATAAATTATTGTTTAACTGAATAGACTGATTTTGTAACATGCCATTTTGAGTAGCAACAATAATGCTTCCTGTTCCCCCTCTACTCATCTCTTCCTATTCCTGCTCTGCTCATCTCTTCCTGTTCCTGCTCTGCTCATCTCTACTTTATAATGCAACTGTTGCTCAGAAACCCAAAATAGCTGCTGAGAATTAGCTCCATCAAACGAGGGTCATGGAATAAAATGAAAATGGCTTCTACAAAGCATTGTCAGTGTTAAATACACAGACATTAAGCGAAAACATTTAAATAATAACGTTCATGCTTTTGGAGTGATGTCTCTCACCACCCCATACACATTCACCCCCCAAAATTTAAGCTTGTGTAATACTCATATATCTTGTTTGCAATCCAAGAAAGAAGGTTCAAGTTCAGGACTGTCCGCCCCGTGGGGTCAATTTATTATTTAAAAAATAATTTTATTAATTATCTGAGAATTTAATGATATATTTTGATCATATTTACTCCTCACCCTTCTCCTAACTTTTCCCAAACCCAACTTCCTTATTTCCTTTAACTTCATGTCATCTTTATTTTCTTTAATAGCCACCAAGTTCAATTTTCTGCTCCCCATATACTCCAGGGTGTGGGATCTGCCGGAGTCTGCTGGCAGTATCGGCAGAGTTCTTGAGTTGAGAGTGAGGATTGAAAGAAAATTAATAAACCAACATACTACACATGGGATTTTTCTGAGAGGGCTTCCAGCACAAACCTAGTTGCCTCCGTTTTTTCCAATAATCTGTTTTTAAGTCAGAACAAAAGCACCTCAGTACAATGAATGAATTCACAGAAAAGTCAAACTTCTTTACCTTGACCACCTGTCTGTGTGATCCTCACACAAAGGGTGTGAACTCGACTAGACATCCCACCTGCTGTCTCAAACAAAAGGAGATGGACTTGGCAGCTTATCACTGACTCCAGGTGAAGGCCAAGGTGAAAACATGTCTTTCAGCTGAGATCTAAATAACAAAGCAGCCTGGTAGACCGGCGGCTCCCTACAAGGATCATTCACTAGAGCAGGGCCACCCCAAACCAGAAGCCTCACCCTTAAAGAAAACTCACTCCAGCTCTAAAACAGTCAACTGACAATAGCTCCTCAGTTATGGATGGAAACTCATGAACTACTCCATGAAATCCATGCTAGAACGCTGGCTGCCTTGATCTTGTGTAGGCAGCCATAGATATCTACAGTGTTGTCCAGTGTTGCTGACACTATTTTGTTCCCACGCTCAGAGTTTATAAGACTTCTTCCACTCTCAACTTCTTTTTTCCCATGAAAAAATTTTACACGACCCTGGTATGCAAGTATATGAAGTAGCTATACAAGTAAAAATGTATTGGTGATAAATAATAAATATTTTGTTTAAAAACAGTTTCTTGTTGTATATACTATAATAAACTTACCTTTTGTTAGTGACTAAGCTAAATCTATTCACTGATGACATGGATGTGCCCATTTATATTTACATAAAGAATCAAATCCTGGTAAATCCTGGTTGAATGTTTGATCATACAGGTCACAGGGCATCTTCTAAGTTGTTCAGTGTTTTGATTTTATAATTGTCAAATGATAGGAATTCAACTTCACATAAATGTCTAATACTAAATGACAAAATTATGTTCAGGGCCATTTCAGAAATTGTTGTGTCCTGATTTCAGCTAAAACTTCATTTGATAGTTTATGAAACTCAAGTGGGAACTCAGCAGCTTCCAAAATTAAGTACTGTAATAGTATAACCCAAAGATACATTAAACTGATGAACATTGAGGAATAAAATAGAAATATATTAATTTTCTTTGTTTTTTGTAGAACCATTATGTTCTGTAAGAGCAGAATTTTTTTTTGTGAACAGCAAAGGCTGCAGTTCGTAACTGACAACAGCCTCAAATCTGAGCACAGGGGTTTTGGTGTTCTGTAGGAGATCATGGTATGATGGCATGCACAGCACAGAGTGAGCATGTTGTATATTCAGGGCCAAGGCAACATGATGCAACACAGGTAGCCACTGCCAGAAACACTTGACGTGGTTTTGTATCAAGTTTTGACCACTGACCATTCTGAAGCAATTTATTATTGGCAAATTTGTTTGTTTGTTTGTGATCCCCAAGAGGAAAACTAAAGTGAAAAAAATTAGGGTCTCAAAATTACATGTTTCAACTTCTTTTTTAAAATAATTTCTATTTTGGGAGAAATGTCCTATTTGTATTCATGCAAACCAAACCACTGTGACTTTGTATAGATACAACTCTTTTAAGTTGGTTGCTCTTTGCAGTAATTACCAAACACAATGATAGCTTCTTTTGCAATCACTTCCAGAAATAATGAAAATATGAGAGTATTGTTTAAGACAATAACTTACTGTTACATCCTGTTATCTGTTGGGTTTATTGTTAGTATTTTGGAACACAACCTGCTTCTGGGTTGCCCAGCAACCTATGATGATGTCATGTGTTACCAGCCAGCCAGGTGACCACACCTGGAAGGCATGGTTACCGTGCCCCCCTTAAAAAGGCTGATACCCACACGCGGTCTCTCTCTTACTCTCTTTACACTCTTCTCTTTCTTCTCTTTCTCTCTCTCTCTCTCTGTGCCCCCTTCCCCCATCCCCCCTTTCCATCTCTCTTTCCCCACCATGCCCTGCTACCCATTCCTCCATATCCCCCTAATAAATCTCTCGCAGAGAATATATTGGTTGTCCCCCTACATCTTCTTCTTTTTAATTAATAACATTTATTGTTTTGATCTTACTCCAGCTCTAAAAATAGCCATCATTGATCTTGTTTACAGATGAGGAATATGTAGAGAAATTGTGGTTTGTTCTGTTTACACACCTGTTGATTATGTGATATGGATTTTGAAAAACAGATGCAATTCCGGGTTTCTCTGGTTTGTCTGCAAACTGCATCTTAGCAACAACATAGGAAGGAAAGTAGATATGTTTAATCTTTTATTTGTTTAAGCTTTCCCATGAGTAGCAGAGAGGAGTATGTTTGTATCTTTTCAACTTGGGCCAAAGAGGGGTCTTGGCTTTCCTTAAGAACTCAGAAGATCCTCATGGCAACGGACAAAGAGATACCTTGTTGGTGGTATTGTTCTTATATTAGTCAGGAGCAGAGCAGATGGCAGTTTTCTGTTCATCCTAGATTGGTGCCCAGCTTGGTGGTCAAAACTGTTTTATGCCTGGGACACAAAAATCAAATCAAATCCAGACAGCACAGTGCCAGAGGAGAAAGGCAGAGACCTGTGTTCAGTCAAGCCAAAAGGTGCAGACAGAAAAAGAAGCTCACACACCTGGCCTCCATCACACAGCATGTGCAGGCCATAGACACACAGAGGTATGCCCACCACCTCTCAGTCCACCGGGAGGAGGAAGACAGACAGAGAACTGTAGACCCCATGCCACCCATAGGCCTGTGCACACAATGTAGGCAGGCCAGACACACACACTTGCTGGAAGGAGGATGTCACCCAGGGGCTCACCAGCCTCATGGCCTGCCTGCAGCGGGAACTACCACAATGTGCAAATTCATCATGGACAGATGGGAGAGAAAGAGAAGTAGACCAACTTGGACATTATGAAGAGAGATGAAACTGGAGACTTGATGATGGAGAGGAGTAGCCTGCTGTGAGTGGCCAGCCCTGCTACCTGGGGCCATGGTGAGGTCACAGCCAATCTACCACTGCAGGCTGTGTCTGGGTCTGTGCCTATGCAAAGGCCAGAGGCTGGGATTGGTGTCTATGTCAGAAGTTCATATTTACTAGAGAACACGGGGATGTCCCTGGTCAGGGAAGCCACCTCAGGATGTTCAGGGGCTGGACTGAGCTGGCCAGCCCCTCACTGGCATTCATGTTCTCTAGAGCTATTCCCCAGGCAGTAGAGAGAACAGGCCCTGCACCATGCTCAGGCAGCATAGTGGATCTGGCCCTGGTGGTGGGGGTGTGGCAGTCAGGAAAGCTGCCCACAAGGTCATAAGCACTGTAGAGCTAACCCTGTCCTTTGCCAGCTGCAGCACTCAGGAGAGTGGGTCTGGCACCTTGCCTAGGCAGCACAGTAAGGCTGACCCTGGTCGAGAGGATATGGGTTAATAAGCCCTGAGAGCAAGAGAGAGCTGGCCCTGCTGACTCTGCCATGAACTAGCATGGATGTATAAGTGTGTATGTGGGGGAGGGGCATGCCTTTCCTTCTTTCCCTTCTCACCACCTGTGGTAGTTGGGAGAGCTGGCCCAGGGAGAGATATCTTTGCCCCTCACTGGCTGTAGCACTCTGGAGAGTCTATCCTGCACCTTACCGCCTGGGCAACACAGTGGTGCTGGCCCTGATGGAGAAAGCACAGGTGAGCCAGCTCTGAGGGTATGAGAACAGGAGAACTGGTCCAGCCCCTCACAATCTGCAGCACTTGGGAAAGTCCTGTGCTTTGACTGGGTAAAACACTAGAGCTGGCTCTGGAGGCTTGGGTGTGGGTAAGTCAGCCAGGAGGGCTTGAGAGCAGGAGAGCTGACCCTGCCTTTTGCTGATGGTGGCATTGGGAATCCTAGCTGGAGCAGTGCTGGAGAGTTCACCCTGTTAGGTACAGATAAGTGAGAGACAGAGCACTGACCAGCTCAAGTACCACCCAGGCCCAGATCCAGGGCTCTGAGTTGGCCCACTCACAATTCTGTATCATTTTCAAGCAGTTGGGCCATGTGAAAGGGCCAAACCTGTGGACCCGAAGTTGCAGGATCTCTATGACGATCCAATATTGATGTTATCACAGAAGCCAGAGACCTTAAATCAGACCAGTGACTCATAGCAATGAACAAATGTAAAGATTTGCAAGTAAAGGTGTGTGGATAAAGGGGCATACTGTGGGACACACTGGGACACTGCAGCTTCCACTATGAGATATTTCTCTCTCTCTCTCTCTCTCTCTGTGTGTGTGTGTGTGTGTGTGTGTGTGTGTGTGTGTGTGTGTTTTATTTTGGGAGAGAGGTTGCAAGAGCAAAGGGCAGATATGAGGGGAAGAAGAGATGAGTGGGGCTGGGGTGCATGATGTGAAATTCAAAAAGAATCAATAAAAAGTTTAAGAAAAAACAACTCAAAAGGGATGGCTGATTTAATAAACCCTCTCTAATCATGATAAATTTTCATTTGCTTCACTTTTAAAAAATCAAATATATTGATTTTTGTCTAAATTTTTGCTAGTGATTCCTTCCTAAATGCTAATGTAATTTTACGTTAATCTAAAGAAAGATGAGAATCATTCAAAAGATACAGCCTAAATATAAACTCTATAGATCTTTATTTAAATTCCATGACCCAGCCCTCAGGAGTCTGCTTGTCTCTCTCATTTATATCTCCTCATCTCTCTCTGTTTTTTTTTTGTTTTTTGTTTGGTACAACAGAAGACCATAGCCTTTGAAGTAAGCTGTGTTAAGTAAGTAAGTACCAGAATAAACAACTAGAATATACAATAAATTGCACGGTGCTGAAGAACATCCAGTGCCATAGTTAAACAGTCCAACATCAAACCAAGCTCAGGGTATCAATAGTCTACAAAGAAATTGCCATGGGTTCAATCTTCAACAGAGAAGGGGGAGAGAGGGAGGAAATGTGAGACAGGAAGGGAGGGAGGGCAGAGACAGACACACACACAGAGAAAGTATTGCTTTCTTACTTTCCTCTCTAGTCACGAGAATCACTCCCCTATCAGCTTATGACCTGGCAGCTGGTCAAGACCATCCATCCTTGCTGTTCATTCTCTATTATATTTGAAGTCTGCTTGAATAGTCATAGTTCTGTGCTCAGCTTTGTAATTAGACGAAGTGATGAAAATAACTTTCACTTGAGTCCAATTTTCTTGGCATAAAAATAACTCTTTGAGCTTTCTGATGTAATAAATTATAGAAAATTCGAGGTAGGACTAGGTCTAAAAATGGAGTCTGGCTTGAGTCTGATGCTTCCAGGAGACATTGGAACCATCTTCTTCATTGCTCTATTATTGTGGATATTATGCCATTGGTTGTGCAGATTTGTAGAATTTTAGCTGATGACCATCAAGTCTTCTTAAACACCAACTCATGCCCAGCACTTACCCTGGACCCCAAATAGCTTGTTTACAGAGGATGGGGATCAAATCTCAAACCTTTCATCAGGCCTGATGTTTCCATTTCTTCTTACCTTATCATTTTCACACTAGCATTATGAACATATGTAGCTCTATGAAGTTATACGAGCCCACTAGGTAACAGTGGACCTTGGAATTTAAATCCGTGCTTTTAAAAGTCTCATTTTCTTTATTAGTTATTATTATTCACTTATGAGTATTTTATACAACCTATTTTGATATTTATCTCATCTCCCCCAACTCTTCCCAGATCTACCCCTCCTCCATACCCATCCACCTTTGTGTCCTTTAAAAAAAAATATCCTCTACTATTAATTTGTACTGCCCAAATATTCTTGGATGTATGGTCTTCCACTGGAGCCTGGTCATCTTACCAGGGGCTGTACTCTTAGAGGAAGCAGTCTCTCCCCCTCCCAACATCTAATACTTGCCATTAGCTCCATCCCCCTCCATATTCTGGGATTTGGTATGGCTTGAGCTTGCACAGGTTATGTGCATGCTATTTCAGCTGCTGACACTCAGTGAGCTAGTCCTTGTTTTGCTGTAATAAACAAACAAAATAAATAAATAATAACTTCTCTAAATGTGCAAAAAAATCCCTCCCGTTGTTTAAAAGTGTGTCAAGACAGACAATTCTTTTTTTTTTTCAGATTACTGTTACATGGTACCCAAAAAATTAGTATCTAAACTTATACTATGAAACACTATAACTTATGTAACTCACAAATTAAATTTAGGATGACAGACTGAAATTCCTAGTAGGTCAATTAAGTCTAAACAAATGGAGCTGGATGGGATTCTGGTAAATGAGATGAGCATGCCAAGAGTCCATATTAGAATATCTGATGTCATTCACATACACAAAAGCCGGTGTAAAACTGTAAAACATGAAGGAGTATTGAATTGGTCATGGGCTGGAATACCATCCCTAAAAGTCCCTGGGAAGAGGGAAGTGACCTAGACAGGCAGGATGCTTTTATTCTCTAAACCCCCCTCTGTGTAGCAGAGACACCAGGGCTCATGGGCTGGCCCTCATTAGGAAAGTGCAAAGAACTGGGACAGCCCCTTGCTGAAGCACAAGGCTCTTTGCCTCTTTTGTTGTCTCAGATGCTTCAATGGGCTTCAGAGTTTCAAAGGTTCAAACAGTGGATTTCCAACTAGGCTAGGATGGATCAGTGCCCAGGGTACTGAGTAGGAAATAATGTCTCTGCCCACTCAGTAACCCCAAGCTGGCAAGATCCCCCTCTGAAGGTTAGAACACAATGTTTCATGACTTAAGTCATCACAGGAACAGCAGAGAGATGGGTGATGAAATTCCACTTTACCCTTCACTTTCAAATCACTATTTATTACTTGGCAACCTTTGAAAGAACATAAACAACTGTTCTTAAAGACTTACTGAAACCCATTTTGAAGCATCACACATTCAGGGCAGACACATCCTTTGAAAGCTAAAAAAGAGCCAGGCCACTTTAGCTGGTAGTTGAAGGAGGCAGTGATGGACAGATACATAAAAGCCAAGTTAAGTGAAAAGAAAAGGAGTGGGCATGGCAACTCGGAAGCAAAGAAGGACTGGAAAGAGTAAGCACCAATGTTTCTTCCCCTCACCCCTAGCCAAGTGAGGGAGAAGATGTAGATGATCAGCATACTGAGAACCCACTAGTCAGTTTTACACTCCATGATAGCAGAGACAGATAAACCTTGTTTCCTCCTTTGGTACCAAGCAAATAGCAATCACTTTAAAAAAGACGATTTCAAGGGGGTAACTTGGTGTCAGATGTAATTCACATATACCCCTGCTTTGCTCCCATTACCCAGTCCTGACTCAATCAGTCAGTCTCTCAAATCATTTTATTAACTGTGTTAACTCCACAAATATTTGCTATCTCTTTCACTTATGACCAAGCCATTTGTAAGACAATGGTAATGGAAAAATGACTGGAATGTACTCAAACAGATAGCCGATCATTTAAGCCATATAGCAATAGCTACACATGGCCACCTAGAAAGAACTCAGCCCTCAGACCCATAAAGAACTGAATTGGTTTTTAGCCACCAGGTGCCAGTCAGCTCTCAAATGGTATAACAACATACCTGTTACCTTAGCTCTGCTTACGGCAGCCTAGTCTTCTCCGATCCACAACAGGGACACAGAGATGGAGAGACAGAGACAGACAGACAGAAGAAGCATACTCAACACAATTACAAGCAATAGGAGGTTATTCGGCTCCTAGTTTGGAGATGCTGAGGGTAATGGCCTTCGTGTTACACAATGTCAAATGTGAGGCAGAGACACAGAGAGCCTTTATAACACAGCCATTCCCACAGTGAGCCCTTGTGACCTAGTTACCTCTAAAATCACACCTTCCAGTAATGAGAGGGCAATCAGATTTCAACATAGGCTTTTTGCCAAAGTGCAGCAGAGCTCTTATTTAGAGAGCATTCAGAAAGTCAGTAACTCCTGGAGGCAGCAGGCATATGTACGTATCACTGCGTAATGGGGGAATCCTCACTAAAATGTACCTTCTGTTCTAGGTCACTTCTATTTTTCAACCATAAAAGAATGTGGCAAGCATGAAGAGGGTGGATATTAGCTGGTGAATATAGATCCTGTAAGTACAGATTCCCTAGAATGAAGAAACTTCAGATCCAAAGACACACACAGAAGATCTAAGTGGTTTCTACCTAATGGAACATGACAGCAAATGGCAAAACTGAGAACAAGCAGGACTATTCCTTAAACTGGGGAGCTGAGTGCCTGATTCTGCACCAAACAGTGAAAATTTGTATGTGTCCAGAAACAGAAGTGTTGTCTTTTCTTGCCCATATCATAGTCCAACAAAAGTCATGTCATGTAATCATTCAGAAACCAAAGGCCCAAAGCCTTGCTGGTGTTCTTTCCCATGGGTCCTTAGAGTCCCTTTCACCGAGTAGATAAATGGGGGTGGAGAGAAACTATCCTGCATGTGTCTTCATAACCCATGACTAGGCTGTGTTCTGTGTTAATGCTGTTCTCGTGCCTCTCATGTTTTTTTTTTTTTTCATCTGATCTCAGTTACCTGGCCACAGGTACCAGCAGAGGGAACTGCCAGTGATGGATGTAGCTGTCTGAGCCACTGAGGACTCATGGCAGCTCAGTCCAAAGCTGTCTTTTAGAGAAGGCTTCCTCTACCTCCTCTTTTTCATTTTTGTACACACTACCATTTTGGACAGAAACGTGCCAGTGGCCTGTAACATTCAGGCCGCATCGAGTACAAAGCTGTAAGACACAGAAATCACACTTAGAAGAATCGCCTGCCTCAGTTAAGTGTGTGCAGAGAGCCCAGCACTGTTTTACCAAATCAACTCGGAGGAACTGCCTCTTTATCAAACCATAGGCAACACTGTCCAAAACAATCAATGGCCGTGCTTTCCTGTATTAGAAGTTCTCCCAGCTCTGTTTAAGAGCCTTTATGCTGTCGACTATTATGCCTGTTCCCAGGCCCATCACTGTCTTTGCTCCTAGCATTTGCACAGCAGTTAGAGAAAGAAGATTGCAGTAAAAATTTCCAGCTCGATTTTGGAGTTGGCAAACATCTGAATAAAAATTAAAGACAACATGTCAATTCAAGAGACAGCTGCTTTTTCTCCAACATGTGGGCTTCACATCTGGATTCAGGGCAGTTTAATTCTTTATTTCCCTATTTGAGTCATGGAGGCTGTTGTCTGTCTGTCTGTTTTCTCATTTAGAAAGCTTGCTAAGGCATTCTCCCTCAGGCTCACTTGTGTTCAGAGACATCTTGTGAACAAAAATATCGTGTCTACCTTTTAAGAGAATTAAAAATTTGGTTTTGGGGACTTGACCTTATATATAGCCCAATGTTGCTGGAAAGAGGTGATGAAAGTAGAGAGCAGAGCATTCTTAGGAACCATCAGGTTTTGTCACACAGTAAACAGCCAGCACATTGCATCCACCCGGTGGGCCTGCTATACCTCTTGCTTATGAGTTGCCTTTGTGCTAATTTTATAATATACAATAAATGTTATAGAAGAATGCAATGGGAATATGCCCCACAAGAAAATTATGCTTTACAGCATAGATTCTAAAAAATACAACAGGAACTCAGTTTTCTGTTACACCCCTTTCTTAATCAGTCGCTTAAGCTCTAATCAGCGATTGCTAACTTTCCTCTTGATTGCTGCAATCTCCACAATGATAACTAATAGGGGCATTATACTAAGCCATAAGATCCCCAAGTTTTAACTAAGAATCCATCTGCAATCCAATTTTAAGAAAAAGGAAATTATATAAGAAGAGCACTTCAATTTCTCTAGATCAGTGGTTCTCAACCTTCCTAATGCATTGACTCTTTAATACAGTTCCTCATGTTTTGATGACCCCCAACCATAAAATTATGTTCATTGCTACTTTATAACTATAATTTTGCTACTCTTATGAATGTAAACACCTGATATGTGACCCCTGTGAAAGGTTGGGGTTGGGACCTACAGGTTGAGAACCACCGCTCTAGAGTAATAATCCTCGACATGTTATTTTGCTCTTTTATGGAGAAACCCATTTTACTCTTTCCTCAGTCCACACTGTTGTATGTGAGAAGTGATGGTTGTCCAGTCATGTAGGAGACAAAGTAAGCTGCTATACTGCTGTATATGGAAATTCTGTGAGGAGTGATGGGTGTCTAAGCACCTAGGAGGAAAGGTAAGCCGATCTCCAAGTTTCCATATGATCTGTCCACTAGGGACACACAGAAGCAATCTGGAGTTTGTAGGTAGCTCTTTCATGTCAGTACCTCTGAAATCAGGAGTTGTTACTGTTCAGTTTTCTCTATGCAGAAACAGAAGACTCAGGAGCAACTAACTCCCACATCTTACCATCAGTGGCAGTTAATAACAGCCACAGCAAAGTGCTTTCTTATTGAGAGACAGGTCCTAACTTCTACTACTGCTTGAAGAGGGTTCAGATGCTGGATGGCAAAACATGACAAGCTTCTGCTTACTAGGAACAGTATAGCAAACAGAGGATGGCACACTGAAGGGTGGGCGCATTGAGGCTTTCTTATGCCCCATTCACAGTTTATATAAGGAAGGCCTTTGAGATTTATCAATTCATTCCCCAGTTCTCATAAAGTGACAGGGTATTACTGTCATGACTGCTTCATGTGCTAAGACCAACGGTAACAGTACCATGAAAATGTACCTGTATATGACACCTTTCCCTACTTACTGTCTGCATTAAGCCTCAATTTGATAGTGTATTTTAACTGTCTATTTATATTATAAATGTCCATAGGAAAGTACCCAGTGCAGACCGTTACTGAAGATACTGCCCACTTTTTGGTTTTAGTACATTTAGTCTGATGATTAACGTAAACACCAGAAGGAAACTTAGTCTATTTGAAAGATGAGGGTTTCCCTTGTTACTAGGATATGAGCTCTATATAATTTTATATATTTCCTTCTGTCCTTTGGGTTGCTATCGGGATCTTGTGCTTAACTGCACACTTAATCACTGTCACTGACTCACCTTGCTTTATCTCCAGGCTTCTTTATGTTGTTTCTACTAACACCCCAAACACAGAAGAGCTCCTCGTGGAGAGATTTGCCTCTTTGACCCTGTGGTCTGCCAAGGTCTCAGAAATAGTAGTTGTGTTTCAGAGGGTCATCTAAACCCAAGTGGAGAAGTATGATTTTCTTGGTAAAGTCATTGGATGCCTGGGGTCTATCGCTTTTTCTCAAGGTGATGGTTGAACTCATTCTCCTGTTGATTTTAATTTCCATATAGGAACAAATTAATTTTATTTCATGATACTTAAAATTACTTTTGGAAGAGGAAAAATTATAAATTATGAAAGGTCGTGAATTATAAATATTTGGCCTCAAGATTTTAGCAACCATGCTATCTCCCTAGGACATGCATTAGAGCCATCACCAAACCAAAGTGGATCTGGAGGAGCGCCAGCCTGCAGTAAGGTGCTGTAGCACTTCATAAACAAATCATTTGTACTTTAGATGGATAGAACTTGGGTTCAGTGACCTGAACACAACTAGGGAGAAAGCCAAGAAATTGCAATTATATCTAATTTTGTCCTCTCTAAAGAAAGCAGAAACTGGGTTTATGTTTCCTTCAGACTGCGCAAATACAGCCATCTTTTGAGACATAGAGAAGAGTATGGACCACAAATTAATTGTACCTCAGCCTGTGCAGCTCTTCTGTGGATGCTTCTGAACACTGTGTCAACTCCTGCAACCAAACTAAATGGCTCCAGCATCACCACATTTAAAAAAGTCCCTTTCTCTAGTTGATATGAAATTCCTTGATGCTGAGCCAGAGCAGTTAAAGAATATAGCAATGTGGGAATGAAAAGGGTGTTGCTTAAGAGGGAGAGGCAAGCACTGCAGATGAGGATCCAGAGAAGGAAATAGCTTTAACTGAAGGTGTCTGAGAGTAGCACAGAGGGCAGGTGTTATGCGTTAGACAGAGTGGAGAATCCTGGACAACAGAAGCTTAGGTAGTGTCTATAAAATGTCTACATGTGCAGGTTGGGAAGAGCTATCACAGGTGAGAAGTTCAGCAATGCTTCTGGAAAGGTCTATGGGAATACCCACCGTGCATTAACAACTGCAAACTTAACACCAAGTAATGAACCCAAGAAGCCATTGTAAAAGTCAAGAAAGAGACAAGGTGAAGTGTAAAGTCTTGAACTAGGGTCGTGGTGGCTGCTCAAGTCTGAGTGGAAGAAAGGACTGGATTTACTGGCCACCTACTTTGTGCTTGGCCTTTACATGCTTTCTGCTCGTGACCAGTTTGATATTAGGCAGGACTAGCCCAGGTCCCTGGATAAACAGAGAGACATTGCTTTCAAAAATTCCCTCAGCTGCGGCATCTAGCCAGGATCTTAATTCCACATAATTTAGGAATCATGATCTTTCCATCCAGACATTAGCTCTTCTGAGGATCAAATGACAAGAACTGGGGTTTGTTTTTAAAGCTGATACCTTTTCACAAAGAAGAAAGACAACTTCTGGAGACCAGACATTTTACACTTAGCTTAAGAAATAAAATGGTATCAGATGGAGATGAAAAAGACATGAAAAATTTGTAGAGTTAGAGAAAACTTAATTTTTTGTTGAGACCGGAAACTTTTTATAAGCTCTTGGCTTTCATTATCACTTTCACATCTTATCTGGTAGATGTGATTGACCACCGTACTCATTCAGCAGAGGTGTGTTGGAGAAATGAAGACACTCCTAAACTTGACCCTGAGTAGTGGACCCGCCACACAACACTGTGGCAGGAGAACTGCGCACACAGTGCATCCAGGTGCACACAGCCTTTCTGTCAAACCAGTCACCTGTACCCCCATCACACCTCTCCCACCTTCCCACTCATTCCCCACTGTCAAGGATAAGGTAAGAAGGGACTCAAAGGAACAGGGATTGGGAGCGAGAAAAAGTCGGGGGAGGAGGGGGAAGCAGAGAAAGCCAGTACAAACTGTGTAAGTGACCCGATCACTGAGTGGACAGAGGCCTGCCGTTTTCCCAAGTCTCTGAGGAAAAGAGACAGAGTAAGGTACTATTTAATAACTGTCCCTGTCCCCAGTGGTCAAAGGTATCTGTGAGCTGGCTAACTCTTCAGCTGCAGGTTTACACATGCATCAGAATGCTGAACAGATTCCTGTGTGTTTCATAGGGTGATAACAACCAAAATCAAGAGATATGTGCAGGGAGGGAAAAGGTCAGGAGAGTTGCTATGGCCATGGCTGGAAGGAGAACACAAGATTGAGGTGACAGTGATGATGCAAGGAGCACAAGGTGGTACCAGCAGCAGCTGAAGACGTGGGGTTTGAACTGAGTGGTCTGACTGCTCCAGAGCGGGCTATGGGAGCAGCTCACCCAGCCTGAGGGCCCCAGAGAGGGCTGTTGGGACAGCTCACCCAGCCTTTCTAAATGATGATGGCACTGCTGGTCTGGGGACTGAATTTTGAGAATTGTTTACCCTGTCAGGGGTTTCAGTCTGCAAAAGAAATAGTCATCATCATGAAGCAAACTATGGAAGGGACGGTAAGCTTGGTGTAAGAGGCTGTACATGGAAAAAGAAATGTGATGGGCAGTCATGCTTCTCAGCAAACATTTGTAAAACTGGAGACTCGCCAAAATCAAAGAGACCTGCATCATGATGAAGCTTAACTTCAGAATGAGGGAGCACGAGGGTGAAGGCACACCCTCATGTGCCTTCACATGAGGGTTACAGCTAAATCTTTGTGTCAAGAGTACCCTGGAAGAGCTCTCATTTTGTTGTTGGTGTTGGTTTTTTGTTTTGTCTTGTTTTTGCTCATTTGGGTTTTTTATTTGCCTATGTTTGATGAATACCTGGTAAAAAAAAAAAAAAAGCCTAAAAAATGTACCTTTCTACTTCCAGAGAGATTACAGTCTAATGAGGATGAGAAAGAAGAAAGCCATTGATTGCAGAACCATTTTGTCAACTTTTAGAGAAAATAAAATTGTACTAATGTAGGAAAGGAAGCAGTGCTTTGCCTCAGAAAACTGACAAAGACTTTCATAAAGTGGTGTAATTAAACTGGCATGAAGGATAGAGGGATCTGCGAAGCAAGGGAGAGAAAAAAATACCATTCTAGGTAGAGGGAACTCCATGTAAGAAATCAAAAAGGAACTTTGGAGGGCATCACCCAACCTTCTTGGAGGGCATCACCCACCCACTTGCTCTAGGCATCTCCTGAACTAGTCTGTAAAGTTTGCATGGATCAGTTAAAGGTTAAGCTTTATCTTATAAACAACAGAGAAATGGGGGAGAGTTGGAACAAAATTTGGCACAAGTAGGTTTAGTTTTGAAGATTTGAGGTTTAGGAAAATTTCTAGATGAAATAAAAAAAATTGGTCGAGAAACTAAAGTATTAAAGATTTGGAAATGAAAGCCGAAACAGTACAAACACAAGAGACACTTCCTGCTGATGAGGGCAGGCTAAGACTCAAAGGTCTAAACGGAGCCAGGCACAGTGCTGTTGCCAGATGGTCCAGAGGCTGAAGAAGGAAAGCTGGGAGACCGAGGATAAACTGAGCAACTTAGTGAGACTTTGTCTCAAAATTAAAATAATGAGCAGAGAATGTAGCTTACTGGTGGGCCACTTGCCTGACAGAAGGTCCTATGTTAAGTAGTGAGAAAAAAAAATCAGAATCTGAAATCAACAGTCCAAGTGGATATGGATATAGTACATGGGTTAGAGTAGCTAATTTACCTGAAAGCCCTTCTCTTGCATATACTAGTTCCTTGTCCGGTTGTCAGGGTAATGCACACTGGTATTCCCATAATGCTTAGAGTTTGTTTTGCTATTTAGCATCATTTTACATATTGACATATCAAGGAAGTCTAAGGTGAGGCTCCTTATAGTGTTCTTTGTAGATACATAGAATAAATATATCTGTAATATATACTATAGATAGAATATATGGTATAGATAGAATAACAAATGTCTCAAGTTCACATAAGTTGTAAGTTCTTCTAAATATGCATTCTAAATATGTGCTGGGGCCCACTAAGCCTTCCCTGCCTCCCAACTTCTTAGCCATGGAATCTCTTTTTCACAGACTGTCTCTTAGAATGTGTAGTTCCTGCGCACACCCAGGAAATGCCACTTTAGGGGGCATCATCTTTGACAGCATGTACCTTAGCAGATATGAAAAGATAGGAAAGCCTTTTTTTACAAGGAGGCCATGCAGAAGAGTGGACAGGCATGGCTTGGAGGTGGTCAGATCCGAAGCAGTATCCTCTTTCTACTTTAAGTCTGCTCGTAATTTGTGGAAATAGGTCATCATCGGGTTTAGTGTGCTCATCTGTGAATGTCAAACAATGACGTTTGCTTTGCAGGCATGTAGAGGAATCACAGGAAAAATACAGACTATATCAACTGTTCTTATCACACAGGGAGGCTCCGTATCTTAATGTTTATCAGTGCTACTTGTTCTGTTGTTTGGCCCAAGTCATACACTTTATCTACACCTGTTGCTTCTCAGTCTTGAGATTGTGTTACTCCTGCCTTTGCCGATCATTGGTGCTGGTTACTGGGTACTTTCACTTTGGCTTTCTGTACAGAATGGTCAGCTTGCTGAAAGAAGGCCTAATGGTCTATATTGGGGGCCTAGACCTATTGGCTTCCAGAGTCAGATATTATTGTAGTTAGAGACTTTGAACCTGGGGGTCTGAACCACAATCTGTTTCTGTACAGTTTCCACAGCTCCATTTTTCTGTTTTGCTCAACAGGGTGACACATATGGCTGAGCCACAAGCCTCCAGAAAAAAAGACAGTTGTTATGACCTCTTCAGCTGCAGTTGAAAGTGATTAAGAAGCTATTATGGTATGTCGTCTGGCAAAAAGGTAGATGTGTATGTCAGCCTAGCTGAAACACAAAACTTGGCTAGATGTATTCTGTTCTCATTTATAAGAATTGAAGCCAGGAGCTAGAGAAGTGTCTCAGCAGTTAAGAGCACTTGCTGCTTTTGCAGAGGATCCTAGTTCAGTTCCCAATACTCATGTGGAAGCTCATAACCACCTAACCACTGGTAATTCCAGGTCTAGGGAATCCCATACCCTCTTATGATTTCTGTAGGCTCCTGCACACACATAGTACATAAACATACATGCACAAAATAAATATTTTTAAAAGAATCTAAGCCAGTGAGCTTTTACTGAAGCATCATATAATATCAATAATTAACATCACTTTCCAGTCAAATAGCAACAGCTCCTCTTTCCTGTTTTTTTTTTTTTTTTTTTTTTTTGTGTGTGTGTGTGTGTGTGTTTGTTTGAGGTTTCTTGTTTTTTGAGGTAAGGTCTTATTTTGTAACCCTGGCTGACCTAGAACTTGTAATTATCGTACTGAGCATAGAGATTAAAGATGTAAGCCACCATGCCTGGCCTTCAAATCTCACTATCTAATATCAGCTTTTATTAAATATCTGAAAACCCAAAGTAGTGTGGATTCTTTGGTGTGATAACAGTATCCTTAGTTTTCAAAAATTAACAGATCTTAAGCATGTAGTTTTTTTCCTTTCCCTGCTTAAAAACTTCCATGGCTCCCACTGTTTACTGAATTAGCAACATTCTGTTTACTGTGCTTTGTATGGCTTCCTGTGGTCACCAATAAGTGAAGGAGAACTAAAAGTTTTGCTTTAGAGCAGTGCTTTTTAAACTTTAACACACATGGATGACCTGGCGCCCTTTATAAAGTGTGATTCTTACTCAGTGCAGCTGGGGTCATGTTGTTCAGAACAAGGTCATGGCAAGATTTCCAGCAATGAGGAAATGAGGATAAGCTTTAAGAATTAAACCCTAGTGGGGTAGAAGCAAGTCAGTGTAGGGCTTCAGTAGGAAACAGCGTATGTGACATGGAACTCTAGAGAGATCTCCATAGCAGTTTCTGTTCAAATGCAACACTCAGAAGAATCCAGGGGATGGAGTATTTCACTTGTTTTCATGATTTTCATTATTCATCTGCCCAGCTGCTTTATACCAAGGGTCCTGAGTTCCTGGAACAGAGAGTCTAACCCTGTTCTCCACAGTTCTGAAAGGAGCAGTACAGGCCTTGATTTCCCCATAAACCTTATAGAAGAAGGTCTTTACTTCTTTTTTTTTTTTTTTTTTTTTTTGAAATTGTAGTTATAGTAAGTAAGGGTCTTGCCATAAGTTACAAAATCCAATACAAAATTCCCACATACATTACACTTGGCACAAGATCCTAAAGTGTTCCAAAGATGGTAACACAGTGAGTAGGTGATTAGATCCCTCCATACATTATTCTGTCTGCCTCGTACTACCTCAGATCAAAAGCGCTGAGTCTGCTCAGTTGAACTGATAATCACAACATAACACTAAAGTTTTAGCCTTAGTTTTAGCCAGGCCTTTGTATACATATACATCATGGCCATGTTTGTTATGTATCGTTGAATGTTGACTGTTTAGCTTCTCTTTGTAGTTCTGAGAGTATGAGGCTCAGACTGCAGGGGACTCTTGTCCATGACTGGAGGTGAGTTTAAGTATTAAGGTTGCATTTGAAGTGTTCTGATTTGATTTTTAGAGAACAACCTGTTCTGAAATATTGGAGTTCTGGCACCATTATTCCTTTTCGGTTCCATTAAGCTCCTAACTCAGTCATTTTCATTTTAATCCAGCAATGGCTCAAAACTATGGCAGCACACTGCAAGCACAAGAACTGACCTCACTTAGCGATCCTCCATTCTGAAATACAGTCCTTGGTTTGCCTTCCTGGCTACTGTGAAGGTTAAAACATTAACAGATTTTAAACTGTTACTTACTGACTTGTTCTTTTAATGTGAGTCAAACGTTAATAAAACGGAACTGTTTTCTCACTGAATGCTTTGGTTGTAATATTTAACTTCAATTTACTTCTGGGGCCAGGCCCATAAGGAAATTGATCCTATCATGTGACATTAAATAAACATGGCTGCTTTAGGTGCTGGCCTCCACAATCATGATTCTAAATGAAGCTGTGTTTAGAATATTTGCAAAAGTCTAGGTCCTCTTACTGCATCTTCTATTAGTGGGCATCCAGGGTATGGCTGGAAGAATGTGTCCTTTAAAACAAGTGCCGCCTCTAGTGTTATTAACATCCAGTTCACTGAGTGAAACTTTTGCCAGGACAGATTTGGGATTACAAACACAAACAAGGAAATTGTTGTAGCTGACTGGAAAAAATGGGAGGACCTATGTCTTTGCAACTTAAAAATCCTGCAATGCACTCAGGGGAACATCTGCACGGCACTCTCCTGTGAAGCTTTTTACAGGGCCAATCCCTGAACCGTAGGCTTAGACCTATTAACTGCCCCCAAAATCCAGCACCTCAGAATCTCTACTTCCATCACAGTGCCCAAGGAGTTTCCTTGCACAGTGACATTTCAGGACCTCTGTCTACACAAATGAGAAACCAACCACTAAGGTGGATAGTCTGGAGACCATGGTTCTAAGAACTCATCCAGAAGTGCGAGGGTATGCCTGAGGCTGGAGGCTATAAAATCAGCAAGGTCCCAGTCCACAGTTCTCTCATTTTATTTCTGCTGCTGAACACACATTTTAGCATTGAACCACCCTTTCAGTTTCCTTAATTTAAATGCCTGGATAATATAGCTAGGAAGTTGACCATAAGAAAAAAAATAGTATTGATCTGGGTGTATACAAGAACACTGAGGTATACGGAAGAAGCCAATGAACAAAGGTGGATGAGAAGAAAATACGTCAGAGTCAGGTCTAACAGAGTAGGAAAGAAAGTCAAGAGGGTTGGCAGAAAACAGGGCTTGTCTGGTTCAGCAACAGGTAGAAATGGAATGTGAGTGCCAATGGAAGGAAACTATCCTTAGCTTTTATGAACAGTGCCCCTTACTGACATCTGTGAAACAGGCAGATTCTTGGGGCTTTGTAAGCCACATGCTTTTGTTTTGTATCGCGTCTTTGGTGAGGAGGTATTAGAGGTGTTAAAGACAGAGAAAAGGGCAGAGAACGGGAATCTACACATCAGAAAAAGGAAATGAACTGCAAACAAGAGCTGCAGGCATGTGCAAAACCACCCTACTTCTCACTAGAGTGAGTACATACTCACACTCTCACACTGGCCCCTGTGCCAGTCGCTCAGAAGTGAACGCTGATGCCTTCTCCTCTGGGTCAGCAATTTCCTTGCTCATCCGGGGAATAACTGGTACACTGGCAGACCAGGCGCCAAGTCACTTGTTAAGCTCTGGGACTTTTTCCTAGGTTTTGCAGAAGCCATTCTTGGCAGGGGGGCGGGGTGTGCTAAAATGCCTATTCTGTTTGCATGGCGAATTTTCTAGTGTATTACTAGATGACGAGCATTCAATGTTTTTTCATTTTTGCTCTGACTTTTAGCTTACCAGTCACTTATTTTACTTCCAGATAGTTACAATCCTTGTTAACTTTCTGGCAAAAGCTGCAACATAACTGCAACATAACAGATATTTCTTACAGTAACATGCTTGATAATAGAACTATCACACACCTTTCTCCTGCTGGTCAGAGAACACGGCGAAGCAAGGACACTTAGTTTGCCTTGATCTCACAGAACTAACTCCTTTTAAAGAACAGGCAGGTAAACCAGTGCTCTATGTCATGGTGAGGCAGCCTTAGCAAAGCCGCTGTCCTAGGTGGGCAGCTTCTTCTCAGTCAAAACATTTAAGCTCTAGACACATTTTCAAACTACCAAGAGGACACACAGCATGTCTGTATGTCTCAAACAGCCTTCATTTAGTCAAGAGACTCTGACATCTCTGTTTGCTATGATGACTGTCTTAGGCAGCCAATAGTCACTGTTCAGCATCTCCTGCACATCTGCATTGTGCTTTATATGTTACTAAGCATAGGCCAGGCTCTCCGTTGGTCATAAAGATCTCACCTCCACCAACAGCATTAATATAGCAACCATTTGTTTCCTGCTTACATGGAGTCCATCCTATCCAACCTATTTTGTGGTCTCTAAGATTGTCCCACATGGAGAGAGTTCTCAAGAAGAGTTTGAAGGATATGTTTGGCTAATACTAACTTTTACCCATAGCCTGCTTACCAGAATCCAGTACACAACCTTAGTGCTAAATGTCTGGAAAGCAGGAGAATGTTGCTGGAGACCTATAGCAGTTTTGCAACAAAAAAGAACACAAACACTGAGAGTAACTCTTGGCCCTGTGGGGATTTGAACCTGTTTAGGGTGGTGGAAAGGAAGGCAACTGTTAATCACCAAATACCTCTCAAATTCATTCTTATAAGATGGGGTTTAATGATTCACCCAGCAATTATTGAATAGCTACTGTTTCCTAAGGTCTGACCCGTGTACTGTGTGTCAAACACATCTAACTCTCAATACCACTTTTCAAGGAGGAACAAAGACAAGAGAAGGCACCATGCTGCTCCCACACAGCGATGAGCACCACAATAGAAATATTAGTTTCCTAGATTTGTTGGGGCAAAGTTTCTAGCCTGGGTGGCTTCAAGCAGAAAAGTTATTCTGTCACAGTTCTGGAGGTTAGAAGCCTGAAAATAGTGTCAGCAGGACCGCATTCCCTCCAGGCAGACTCATTCCTTACCTTGTCCCCAATTCTAGTGTAGCCATCAATCCTTGGCATTTCTTGCCTGGAGGCTATAAACTCCCACATCTGCTTATCTTCAACCCTGTGTGGCATTTTTCTTTTATAAAGATAAGTCATACTGGATTAGAGCCTACTGTTGTGACACCATCTTAGCCTGATTACACTTGCAAAGGACCTCTTTCCAGAGAGGTCGCATTCGCAGGTACCATGGATTAGAATCTGTTATCAGAGTATAACTG